CTTTCTTCTTTCTTTCTTTCTTCTTTCTTCTTTTTCTTTCTTTCTTTTTTTAGATATTTTAGGGTCATCATAGGCTCAGTTCTAAAGATGATAGAATAAGATTCCTGTTCCTTGTTTATTCAACCAAACATGAATCTAGGTACTGCTGGGAAAAGATTTTGTTGATGTAGTTAAAGTCCCAATTCAGTTCACCTTAAAATACAGAGATTATCTGTGTGGGCCTGACCCAATCACGTGGATACCTTTATTTTTGTTTTTTTATTATTATTATTATTATTATTATTATTATTAATTTTATTTTTTTAGAGAGAGAGAGAGCACACATGTGTGGGTGCAGGGTGCAGAAGGGCAGAGGGAGAGGGAGAGAGAATCCTTTTTTTTTTTAAATAATTTTTTATTGTTATGTTAACCACCATACATTACATCATTAGTTTTGGGAGAGAGAGAATCCTAAGCAGGCTCCACGCCCAGCATGGAGCCAGACGGAAGTGGGGCTTGATCCCTGAGATCATGACCTGAGTGAAATCAAGAGGTGATTGCTTAACCAACTGAGCCACCCAGGCACCCCAAGTGGATACCTTTGAAAGCAGAGGCTTCCCAGCTGGTAGCAGAAGAGAAAGTCAAAGACACTCAAAGGAGCAAAAGGACGTGACACACTGCTGCTTGCTTGAAGAAGGAAAAAAACCCATGAAGAGAAATGCAGGCAGCGTCTAGGAGGAGAAAGCTGCCCCAGTGGACAAGGGATGAAAATGGAAACATCACAACTACATCTTACGGAAGCAGACCGAGGCAATGAGGAGAATAAGCATTAAAGTAGATTCTACCCCAGAGCCTCCAGATAAGAGCCTAGCCCAGCTGACACATGACTTCAGTCTTGCCAGACCTTAAGCAAGCAATCCAGTTGAACCTACCTGGACCTCTGACCTACAGAAATCATGTGCTTATTTGCTGTCCCAAACCAGAAATGTAATGGAAATTTCTAAATAGCTAAATTATGGATTACATGGAGGGAAGGCATTGTTACCTGCAACAGAAATATTCCAGGTATTTATTTAGAAAGCACTCTTCCTCAAGAACTAGGATATGTGATGAGAACACAACACTTTCTACTTCTCTAATCGAAGGCAGCTTATTGAATTCATCTGATTCTTAGTGTCTTCATTAAAATCCTAGAAATAATCTTCTGCCACAGAATGCATTTTAAAGATAAATAACAAAATAAACCTCAATTTTAAATTATCTAACCCAAGTTAGATTATTTAACCCAGTTAAAATATCTAACCCAAACTTGGATTCAATGAATATCAGCTTCCCTTAAGGGCCATATTAGGAAGAACATAGATCTAGGAGCCAGAATACTAGATTCATATTTTATATGAGTCTCAATTTCCTTATCTATAAAATGAAAATAATACCCAACCTTTCTATTCCAGAAATTTTTATTAGGATGACGCACCTGTAAAACTACACTGTATAAAAGCAAGATAGCTATCAGTTATTCAGCAGTAGCAGGGAAGGATATCATAGACCAGACACATGTTTTCTGTCCTTACCGTATGACGGGGCAGCTGAATAGTCCTTGGACTTAGAACCAAAGGATAAAAGAAGGCAAAATCAAACACCATGTAAGTAAGAGCTGCACTGCATTTGGGCCCCACCTACATGTTCAGAGGCCCACACACTTTTTGTGACACCCCATATTCTCAAACCAGTCCCTTAGCATGTGGCCTGTTCCTGTGGAGGAGGGGGAATATTTTTTTCCTGTGCACAGAACTGGTTTTTATTTTTTTATTATTTTTGAACAAATTTTATTTATTTATTTATTTATTTATTTTAATAATAGCCAACTTTTGTCACAGGCTTCTTATTTTCTCTTAAATCCTGCTTCATTGCTTCATCTGCCCAGAAGGGGCACCTTTGTCTTACTTGCACAACACTCTAGGTAGGCCAAAAAAAAGTTCTTTAAAATATTAACTTCTAAATGTCATTCCATAGCACACCAAGTTCCTCTGAAACTTACATTAAGAAGAGTTTTAAAAACCTGATTTCAATTCTGCAAAAGAATGTCAAATGAATGAAGAAACAAGTCACAGACTGGGAGAAAATATTTGTAAAATACACATCTGATGGACTACTTTCTAAAAGACACAAAGAACTCTTACTATAGATGAGAAAACAAAACCTGATTAAAAATTGGGCCAAAGATCTTAACAGACACTTCATCAAAGTAGACATACAGACAGCAAATAAATGTATGAAAAGATGTTCCATATATACATCATCAGAGAAATGCAAAATAAAGCAACAATGAGATACCACTCTATACCTTGGAGTCACCCAAATCTAACAGCAAATGCTGATGAGTATGTGGAACAATGGGAACTCTCATTCATTGCTGGGGAGAATTCAAAATGGCATAACCACTCTGGAAAAGTTTGTCAGTTTCTTACAAAGCTAAATATACCCTTAGTTTGACCCACTAATTGCACTCCTTGGTATCTACCAGAAGGAATTGAAAACTTCTGTGCATATAAAAACCTACACATGAATGTTTTTATTGTTGTAGTTTATTCATAATTGCCAAAACTTGGAAACAACCAAGATGTCCTTCAGTATGTGAATGGATGCACAAACTGTGGTACATCCAGACAATGGAATGCTATTGAGTATTAAAAAGAAATGAACTATCAAGCCATAAAAAGACATGGAAGATCTTTACTTATTACTTATTATTCTTCCCTTATTACTAAGGGAAGGAGCCAATCTTAAAGGCTACATATTGTTTAATTCAAACTATATGACATTCTGGAAAAGGAGAAACTATGGAGCCAGTAAAACAAAACAAAACAAAACAAAAAACAGTGGTTACCAGAGATCAGGGTGAGTAGAGATGGGTAGGCAGTACACATGGGGTTTTTAGTGCAAGGAAAACACTATGTATGATACTATAATAATGAATACATACCACCATACATTTATCTAAACCCACAGAATACCAGGAATGAAACTTAAGCTAATCTATAGATTTTGGATGATGATGATGAGTCAAAGGTGTGACAAATATATCACTCTGGTGGAGGATGTTGATAATGGAGGGTGTTATGCATGTATAGGTGTGGAGACTATTTGGAAAATCTCTGTACCTACCTCTTAATTTTGCCGTAGACCTAAAACTGCTCTACAAAAAAATAAAGCCTTAAAAAAATCCATTTTATAAAAAACATCAAGTACATTTCCAAAACAGGGTATACCAGTAAATACTTTTCTGATGTGGCTGAATTTGAGGTTAATGTTTACAAGCAACTGTATATAGAAGGGCCCCCAGTGATATTTAATAAGGTACTTATGCCAAGCAATCGGTGTATGAATGTGCACTTCCTAAAGAAGTCTCCAATATGTCTATAAATCCTTAACTATTGCTCATTCTTTCTACATATCTATTTATAATTAGGATTGAATTATTTTTAGTAATGCTTATTGAGGTGTCCCTAAAGCTTATTTTTTTAATTATCATCTATACAATTGAGTATAATGTGATCTACTATGCCTCTTTACTTAGTAGGTATGTATTAACTAATTTCCCATATAAAGTAGTAACAAATAGTAAAAAAAGAAAAGAAAAGGAAAATAACTTATTAAGTATATATTTAAGATTAGCATCTTAAGTAAAAATGAGCATTTCCTTTGGTGATCATTGCAAATAATATAATTTTTATGGTATATATGAACTGATGTATATTCACAAATTAGTTTCTACTTGATGCAAATATTATTTGGACTAAGATGATATTTAGAAGTAATCTAAAGTATGGTTTCTTATTGAAATAGCTCTGGAGTTACATTTGAATTTATTTTAAAGTAAGTTCCTGTTTTTTCTAACAAATATCATTTTCTCCAGGGATTCTTCCCTTCCATCTTCTATATTTGGAGCCTCTTCCCCAAAAGTGCATAATCTTTTCGGAATCTTTTCAATGCCCTTATCATTTCTTGGATATATTAACCCATTAATTCCTTTATTTTTTCAACTGATATTGAATGAGCTCTTATAATCTGACAGTCATTTAATTGTCATTAGGTGACAAAGAGCATGCAATTCTACTCCTAGTCTGGTTATTTTGAATATGAAAATTAACCAGAATGATCACAAATGAATCCACTCATGTATTCTTTATAACACTCATTTAAAAGTAATTAGTGAATGCTATTTTCAAAGAGAATATTATGTTGAAAAAATTATCTAAATGGAAGCCACTTGAGCTAATTTTGCAGATGTAAAAACATAAAAATTCAGGCAGGATATAAAAGGCTGGAGTAGTCTAATTATTGATTGGTAACAGGGGACATTATGGAAGTGCATAAACCATAAGGAGCTATCACCCCATACCCACTAGAATGATTATAATCAAAAGATACATAACAATAAATACTGGCAATCATATAGAGAAATTGGAACCCTCACTGCTTTTAGGAATGTAAAATGTAGCTACTTTGGAAAACAGTCTGGCAGTTCATCAAGTAATTAAATATAGAGTTTCTATGTGACTGAGCTATCTCACTTCAGGGTATATACCCAAAAGAAATAAAAACATGTCTATGAAAAGCTTTCATATTAATGCTCACAGAAATATTTTTCATGGTAGGCAAGCAGTGGAAACCACCCACAGAGCAAGCCTCACAATTAGGAGGCAAACCAGATACTTTGACTCAGGGATGGGGATGAAGTGTTCTGTGATGTCAATTTTCCACCAGTATGCTGAGATTAAAGCAAAAAAAAAAAAAAGTATGAGATTTATTCACTGCATCTGACAAGGAGTAACTGTATGTAATATGTTCTGTACACTCTGCTAGATGCTGGATGCTGGCGTCACAAATAAAAATGGTGAGAGCCCTGCTCCCGAGAAAATCTCAGTATAAATCTTCATGTAAAAGTGACATCTTTTTTTATGATACATAAAGTAGTTTACCATTTTCTGAAGCAGCAACTGTGATGTTGTACCATGAAGTTTCTTCTCTATCAAGGACCTTTGTAGTCCTAATGGTTCCTGTATTGACATCAATATTGAAACATCTGTCATCTTCAGCACTGTAGTCAATGAAGTACCTAGAAAAAAACAGATAGTTCTTCTTTTCACTTGATAATATAATGAAGAAAGTAAAACTAAGACAAGGGCAGTATTAAATCATATATATTCAAATATTTAAATGTATATTTTTAGTTTCTATATTTGCCTCCTAAGATTTGACTGGCAACTTTATATTTGCATAGAACTGACATCAATTATTTTTGTCCGTCAACCCTTAATTAATGTTTACTCTAATTCCTAATTCAAATAAAAAAAAACACCTTTCTGAATTCCATTAATAGAATGGTAGATAGTAGGAACTTTGGGATTAATAAGGGAGAGACAAAAAAAAAAAAATGCCCCTGGGAAGTCTATAGTACTTTGGAAAAAAAACAAACAAAACATTAAACCTTTAATGAAACTTCTCATTGCTACATTTCCAAAATTTTTAGGATAGTAGGAGATGTCAGAGAATAGTTTATCCTGGAGTTTAATTATAGTTGACATTTGAAGATAAATATTAAATAAAAATCAAAACATTTCAATTAATTATCATTGTATCTGCATCACCTAGCCCACTTGTTGAGTGAGAAAATGAGAAAACAACTAAATGAGAGGTAGGTTGCATTACTGGCCACAAATCATCTTCCCTCTCCAATGCATAAGAAGTTTCAGATTTTTCTCACATTAGATTTTGCCTCCAACCTATTTTAGCAAATAGGTGAACACCGCGTGTTTGTAGGTGTCCAATCACTAAATTGTACACCTGAAGCTAATATTACCCTATATGTTAACTAACTGGAATTTAAATAAAAACTTAAAAAAAAAGAATGAGATGAAAAGTGATTAAAAGTGATCATCATCATCATAGAAAGTGATGGCGTCCTGTTCCATATTTGGGCCAAAGTTTCATAAGACTTTGCCTCTTCCTTCTTATGTTCTGCCACTGACACAATAAGAACATGCTGGGGTTAGTCCACTAGTCCCGGAAGGAAGATGAGAGACACAAGGACAAAGTTGTTCCAGTTCAGGTACCCCATCCTAGAGGAGAGCTACCTAGTAAATGAGCAGATGCATGATTGAATGCACCAGAGTTAAGTAGAGCTAGCAAATAGAAGCCAGCCTAGTTTAACTGGTCTTCAACTAGTTCAGGCACATACACTATGGTTATAAATTACTCATTTCTTTTCTTTCTTTCTTTTTTAATTACTTATTTCTCTACCTCTAAGTTTTGGAGTTTTACATAATCCAGCAACAGTTTATTAACATAAATATGAATTAAAAATATAGTAAACGTCATAATATTCTCTAGAAATGTTCCAAACTATTTCTAGAACTACTGAAGGAAGTGTTTCCTCCTTAAATCTCAAATACTTCTCCCCTCTTCCTTAACCTCAGCTTAAGTAATATTTCATCTAGACCTGCAGAACAAAAATGAACTGATTAGGCAGAAAGTACTAGGGGAAGAATATTTGAAATCCAGGAAGCCAAATGACCCTGAGATCATGACCTGAGCCGAAACCAAGAGTTGGACCCTTAACCGACTGGGCCACACAGGCGCCCCCACCATGGCTACTTTGATTCTTAGATTGCAGAAAGTTAAAAGCAATTCAGAAAAGAAATGAAGTCATCTTGAGTAAAGGTGGAAAAAAGTAAGAAAATGGACAGAACTGTAAAAAATAATGCTGTATATTGAATACAGCCTATAGAACTTTTTATTGGAGTGGCATTAGTAAAGGGGGGGAATTATAAATGATTCAATTTTGGTGTGTTTTGTGTGTTTGTGTGTGTATGTGTGTTTGAGCTGCCATATAATTGATAAACCTATTTACTGAGCTGAATAGAGGTAGGAGAAACAAACAAACAAACAAACTCCCTTTGGGAGAAAAAAAACAAAACTGGGAAGTAATCAATATTTTGACACATTATGCCTTAGAAGCCAATTAGATAAACGTGTGGAATAAAAATTAGAGAACTGGATATGGGGGCAGAGTTTAAGTGCACTTTCTGAACAGGAAATATCCATTTGAGATATATCAGCCTAAATTTAAGGTTATGGGAAAGGCATGATTTCATCTGGGAGAGAAGTGTAGGAGAAAAGTGAAATAATGAGCACTCTAACACCCAGACTTTTGAGCCTAAAGCAGCCCAGCATATGTACAAGAGCAGGTGCTAGCAAAAGGAGAGGAAGAATCCAGGAAAGGAGGCAAAGTGGGAGTGGGTGGCACAGAAGCCAAGAAAGGAGAGTGTTTCAAGTGAACAATTATAGTGAACCCTACTAAGAGGCTGAGTGAGTTTAGTAAGGGTTGACTGGCTTTGGGAAGATGGACATCATTAGTTAACTTGAAAAGAATAGTTTCAATAAGATATAAACTGTTTTATTGTTTTTGTTTTTAACAGTGAATTCAAGAATATATTGAATGTGAATCTGTGAAGCCAAGAGTCAGGAAATACAATACCATGCCTCTCCTCGGTGTAATGTGTTAGCAGAGTATATAGAACACGGTGCAAAAGTGTGAAACCTTATAACAACCTGTGGATACCCATGCACACACATGACAGAAGATATTAATACATCATGCAGATCGAAACTGTAGGGCATACTAAGAAATCCCATTCAATGAAAGTAACACCTTACAGAGCTCGAATACAACCCTTGCAACTGTGTGATCAAAAGAAGAAATAGATCATTTTGCATAGATTGTTCTAATAATAACTGTATATTAATTGAAGAAAGCTGAAACTAAAGAAGGAATTTAAACAGGAAGAGGTACAGGTATAAAGCAAATCTGATTCAGAGAAAAGACAGGCGATCCAGACACTACAGAACAGTGGGAAAGAGCAATGTCATCGGGCTTTCCTGAAGCATTAGGTCCTCGTGCACTGAAACTGATTTTGACTTGAGTTCATATCACAGAAAGATCCTTCTCATAATGTTCTTTTTCCAGAGACCTTGATGTTGAGAATGAAGGCAGGATTGCCTTAAAGATGTGAGAAGTTTTGTCACACAAAAAGGATAACTTCCTTTAAAATGTCTTTAGTTGGAAAACTGGTTATTACGTCATCTAAAGTTAGTTGTCATTAACCTGCCTTCGAGACACTTTCCATTTTTCGGTACCCTAAGAACCATGATTTCTGTATTGGAAAATTAGATCTAAAGTTAAAACATTAAATTCCAAAGTTTCCTGCATCAACTATAAGCAAAACTCAGATTATATTGTTATCAACACACCCCTATGAAATATGGGATGACATGTCTCATCTTAGAAATCTGCTTGTTTCAGAACTGTCGGTCTGGAAAAAAAAAAATTGGGGGGGCGCGCCAGGGTGGCTCAGTTGGTTGTGTCCAACTCTTGATTTAGGCTCAGGTTATGATCTCAGGGTTCTAAGATGGAGCACTCAGTGGGGAGTCTGGTTGTCCCTCTCCCTCTGCTCTCTCTCTCTCTCAAATAGATAAATAAAATCTTTTTTTAAAAATTGGCTTTCTTCTGTTTCTAAGCTAAATTAAGACTAAGACATGGATAGTGTTTGTATCAGGGCAATCTCTTAGGCACTTTCACACAGATTTTCTAATGTAAATGCTAGCAGCAGTGGTTAAATACTTTTACAATAAAAATGCTTTTATTTGAATTAAAAATTATGTTTAAATATTTTTTTAAATGGTAGGTATAATGCTAGGTATGTGTCTTCAGTTTCATGTTATTTACTTCTTAGCTTTCTCTGTGACCTAACTCTCCTGGAAAATGTACAATTTAAGGGCTAGATATTAGGGGATGCTTGGTTGCAGAGTCTTGAACGTGGTGGAGTTGCAATTGAATTTCAACTCAAATAGAACTAAAGAGTTCTGCTTTACTCTAACCTTGGATTTCTGTCTAGCTATACAAATAAAAACTGGGAAAAAAAGAGAAAAAAATGAAAATGTAAGAGAAAAGAAACTATTTAAAACTATTTTGGGGTTTTAAATGTAGAATCATTCACTGCTAATGATTTAAAATTAGGAAAAAGCATGGATCCATAAAAATGTTTATCAAACAAATAAAAAGTAGATGAAAATATTCTCAGTAGGTAACTTTTTAAAATACTTTCATAATAAATCCATTTGCTTCCTTCCATAAACCTTCAAAAATGTCAACACAGCATCTTAATACTTTATGAACTCATATATGAATATTTAGATATTTTTACAATGCTAATGTTAATTTGACATTTTCAGGGATATATAACAAGCATAAAATCAAGTAGCCATTTCTGTAGACGATGTAAATTCTAAATTGGGATTAATGATAAAAACTGAGAAAATAGTTCTGGGAAGTTTTTTTAAAAAATATTATTGTCCATTGCTCGCTTTGGCAGCACATATACTAAAAATATTATTGTCCATGGCTATAAAAAAAAGAACTAGCATAAACTGAGGCAAGAGTATATATAACTTGGCAAGATGTTATTCTTCAAATTCTACTTCTCTCTTCATATAAGACTATCCAGGGATGATAGATAAGATTGAAAAGAAAGACTCATATGTGAATTATTTACAAAAGCTATCTAATAAGAAGTAAAGAAAGCTCACATTCATGGAGCACTCACAGTGTACCATAATATACTTTAAATGTTTTCTCTATATTAGTTCATTATAAACTCAAAACAACTGCACGAGACAAGTACTATTAATAGCCCCTTTTTACAAAGGAGGAAAGTGAGGTATGGAGCAATGAAGAATTTTATTCAATATCGCGAAGCTAGTTAGGGCAAGTGATTAAAATACAATTTAAGTCCATATTTAAAAGCTCCCTTTTTTATTTTATTTTTTTTGGATCTTATCACTGTTATTTTATTTTATTTTTTAATTTTATAATGTTATGTTAGTCACCCTACAATACATAATTAGTTTTGATGTAGTGATCCATGATTCATTGTTTTCGTATAACACCCAGTGCTCCATGCAGTACGTGCCCTCCTTAATACCCATCACTGGGCTGACCCATCCCCCCACCCCTCCTCCCCTCTAGAACCCTCAGTTTGTTTCTCAGTTTGTTTCTAG